AACCGATTGGATATTGCAGTAGCGAATTTCGGCACTAACAATATCGGCATCTTTCATGGATTTGGGAATGGATCTTTTGCAAGTCAAATAGAACTTTCAACAGGCTCATCTCGTCCGATAGCAATTATTGCCGTTGATTTCAACAATGACTCACTACTTGATGTTGCCACTGCGAATTACGGAACTCACAGTATTAGTATATTCTATGGATATGGTCATGGAAATTTTTCGTCTCCAAATACGTATTCAACAGGTTATGATTCTCTTCCATCCTCATTAGCTGCTGGAGATTTCAATAACGACAACTATTTAGATCTCGCCATTGCCAATTATGGCACGAATCATGTTGGCATACTTTTTGGAAATACCAACAGAACTTTTGAAAAACAAATCACGCTTTCAACTGGACTTGGTTCCCATCCATTCGCAATTGCGGTCGGCCATTTCAATGCCGACAACTTCCTGGATATCGCTATCGCGAATTCCGGAACACGCGAAATAGGTGTATTCTTAAACAATGGCAATAGAACTTTCGCTAATCAAGCCACCTATTCCAGCGGTTCTGCTTCTCCGTATGCGATTGGCATCGGAGACTTCAATCAAGATAATCGATTGGAGATCGTCATCGCTAATAACGGCAATGAAAATATAGGTGTACTTCTCGGATATGGAAACGGCCATTTTGAAAATCCCATTATGTATTCAACTGGATCTTATTCTTCGGTTTCATTTGCTATAGGTGATCTTAACAAGGATCATCGATTAGACATTGTCGTCGTGAACAATGATACTGGTAGCATAGATATTCTCCTTGGTTATTTTGAGGGATTTTTAAATCAAACAAGGTATTCAGCTGGCTCTTCTCCACAATCTGTAGTTGTTGGTGATTTCAACAACGACACTCGACTAGATATCGTTGTCGCCAATTCAGGTAGCAATGATGTGAGTATCCTTCTTGGAAATGGGAATGGTTCTTTTGAAAATCAAACAAGGTATTCAGCTGGCTCTTGGCCATCCTCTGCAGTTGTTGGTGATTTCAACAACGACACTCGACTAGATATCGTTGTCGCCAATCGGTTTAGCAATGATGTGAGTGTCCTTCTTGGAAATGGAAATGGTTCTTTTGACAATCAAACAAGGTATTCAGCTGGCTCTTTTCCACTTTCTGTAGTTGTTGGTGATTTCAACAACGACACTCGACTAGATATCGTTGTCGCCAATTATTATAGCAATGATGTGAGCATCCTTCTTGGAAATGGAAATGGTTCTTTTGAAAATCAAACAAGGTATTCAGCTGGCTCTTATCCACGATCTGTAGTTGTTGGTGATTTCAACAACGACACTCGACTAGATATCGTTGTTGTCAATTATGATAGCAATGATGTGAGTATCCTTCTTGGAAATGGAAATGGTTCTTTTGAAAATCAAACAAGGTATTCAGCTGGCTCTCAGCCAACATCTGTAGTTGTTGGTGATTTCAACAACGACACTCGACTAGATATCGTTGTCGCCAATTTGAATATCAATGATGTGAGTATCCTTCTTGGAAATGGAAATGGTTCTTTTGAAAATCCAACAAGGTATTCAGCTGGCTCTCGACCACAATCTGTAGTTGTTGGTGATTTCAACAACGACACTCGACTAGATATCGTTGTCGCCAATGACGGTAGCAATGATGTGAGTGTCCTTCTTGGAAATGGAAATGGTTCTTTTGAAAATCAAACAAGGTATTCAGCTGGCATTTGGCCATCCTCTGCAGTTGTTGGTGATTTCAACAACGACAATCGACTAGATATCGTTGCCGCCAATTTGGGTAGTAATGATGTGAGTGTTCTGCTGCAATATAACAGAGGAGCGATAGCATATAAAATGGCGTATGCATCTGGTGGAGGATCTAGCCTACAATGCGTAGTGATTGGTGATTTGAACAACGATACTAATCTGGATATTGTCTTAGCTAATTATGGCACTAATAATATCGGCGTCCTTGTCGGATATGGAAATGGTAGTTTTGAAAACCAAATGATGTTCAGCACTGGCGCAAATTCTCATCCGATTTCCATCGCGGTTGGCGACTTCAATGGTGACCGCATAGCGGATATTGCTTTAGCCAATAATGGTACCAAGCATGTAGATCTGATGCTTGGAAGTGGAAACGGAAAATTTGCAATTCAAACAAGTTATCAAATTAGTTTTGATTCACCTCCGTTAGTGATGGCTTCTGGTGATTTTAATAATGACAAACGATCGGAGATCGTGATCGCTAACGCTGGAAGTAATCATGTGGATATCTTTGTTGCGTACAATCATGGCTCTTTTGAAAATCAAACAAGGTACTCAGCTGGCTCTTCTCCACAATCTGTAGTTGTTGGTGATTTCAACAACGACACTCGACTAGATATCGTTGTCGCCAATTCAGGTAGCAATGATGTGAGTATCCTTCTTGGAAACGGAAATGGTTCTTTTGAAAATCCAACAAGGTATTCAGCTGGCTCTCGACCACAATCTGTAGTTGTTGGTGATTTCAACAATGACACTCGACTAGATATCGTTGTCGCTAATGGGAATGGCAAAGATGTGAGTGTCCTTCTTGGAAATGGAAATGGTTCTTTTGAAAATCAAACAAGATATTCAGCTGGCTCTTATCCACGATCTGTAGTTGTTGGTGATTTCAACAACGACACTCGACTAGATATCGTTGTCGCCATTTCTTATAGCAATGATGTGAGTATCCTTCTTGGAAATGGAAATGGTTCCTTTGAAAATCAAACAAGGTATTCAGCTGGCTCTTATCCATCATCTGT